CCGGGCTCCGTTTCCTTCGGCCGGGCTCGCGGACGCCGTGTTTTGTGTTTCAGAGCCACTACACAAGGGTGGTTTTTTATCACCATCTCAGTGACCTTCCTCTTAAAGACTTGGGCATGGTATTTTATTTTTAAAGAAGTTTCCACATCCCCTTCACAGTTAATGTTTATAGACAGAGGCTAAAACAGCCCAGTACCCATAGCAACCGGCGAGGAGAGGATACATTGCATTATTCAGACCGTTTATGTCAGAGTTGCCCGTCCTGGCTCCGAGTCTGATGTAAATAAATTCAGATTTGGTGATAGGTGAAATCGGTGTTTACCAGGGAGACACGTGCTTGTTTGGGAAGGATTATTCTTAGCGAGAACGCAGCGAGGGCTGTATTTGTGCTGTTTCAGGACCATATATGCCTTTCCTTGTCCCCACTGCAAGGCTGGGGGACCCCAGTTGTGCCATTCCCCAGCAAGATTCATCCATAACCCCCATCTGTCACCATAAACCCCAGTGACGAAGCTGCTTCCCCATGCCCACAGCATCCCACAAGGGATTGGTGCCACACCAAGAATGGCTTCACTGCCTCCTTCCTCCCTTATCCAACATTTCAACCCCATCCTTTCCCTCTTCCCATCCACTCTGTGTCGGCTGTGCCTCACACAGGGTTTTTTTAGAGGTTATGCCAGATAAATCCTCATTTTCAGTAGCTTTTCCTGCAGCAGCCAGTGCGGATTAACGTGTCGCTGCCTTTGCAGAACTGGTTCTGGCTGCCATGAAGCTGGGTTTGATGTTTCGGAGGTGTCTGCTCAGTTCCCTAAAGCGAAACTGAGGAGCTGGAAGGTGATGTCCAAGCCCATCTCATGGGATCCAAGGCTGCCTCTCTCCCTGGGGTGGTGGGGAGGAAAAAGCAGATAAAGCATTATTTGTAGTGTTTTATAGTATTTAACAGTGAGGGATTAAGGAATTATCCCTGGTTATAAAGGGAAAAAAATATTCCTCTCAAATTACCTACTATTTCTAAGAATTTGAGATTACAGAGGGTGAGGTTGAAATCTCCAGAGCTTTTTCCCCCCTTCCCATCCCCAGGGCCTGGCTGTGACTGGGCCGTGTCTTGCACTGACACAGGGATGGACCCCACAGTTTTTTGGGTCAGGATGTGGGGCTTCTGCTGCTCCCTGAGGAGAGACTGGCACCGTTGGACCCCCTGATTGCAGACCCCATGCCATGGGATCCCTAGAAATGTGGCCAAGGGTCTGTTTTCCAAAATTTATGGCTTCAGAATCCAGTCTGGGGCCTGCTGCGCCCATCAGGGCTTGGCAGGAGGGGTTTGTTTGCAGCCTTGGGAAGTGCCGCATGTGAGGCTGCGTGCAGATGCCACAGATAACCCCTTGAAATTCGGGATATTTCTCCAGAGCAAACAGCGGGAAAGGAGAAACGAGTTAAATCTCAACTAGGCTGGGATGGCCGAGTCAACAGGGCCATCGCACTGCGCTGCCTTGGGTCACCTTGTCCCTTCCACAGCCCCCACTGTGCCTACTTGGTTTTCTCCATGTGGTCCCCCCTGCTTGTCTCCCTTCCCTGAAACTCCCTGTGATGGTTTTTGGGGTGGGGGGATCACCCTTACAAACCCAAACAGCCCCAGCGATGGACACGCGATGCAGGAGGCTTCATCCAAGATGGAGGCCTCATCCTGTGGGCCTTGACCTGAAGGCAACCGCATGGTGGGGACATCCAGTCCCGGGACATGTCCCTGAAGGCCCTGCCCAATGTTGTGACCACCCGTAACCCTACAACCATGTTTGCCCAGTAAAGCTGCACTGGGGGAGGGATGAATGCTGGCCCTGACGTGGCAAACGCACACAGGCAGCCAGGAACGGGGAATAAACACACAGCGGAGCCATGGCCAAGTCACGGTCGCTGCTGGGCCCCTGCCAGGCCTGGTTTGCTGAGTCTGCACTTCTACTGTGGGGGTAAATGGAGAGAAATGGGGCCAGGGCTGAGCTGCCTGGACACCACTGGCGAGTTCCTGCTTTGAGGTCATGGGTACCCAGGGAATGCTTCAAAATGGCCCCCAGTGCCAGGACAGGGACAGGACGGAGACGCCATCCAAGCCACCCTGTGCCCCCCATCTCCCTACCAGAGACAGCACAGAGACGCCATCCAAGCCACCCTGTGCCCCCCATCTCCCTACCAGGGACAGCACGGAGACGGCATCCAAGCCACCCTGTGCCCCCCCATCGCCCTCCCAGAGACAGCCCAGAGACGCCATCCAAGCCACCCTGTGCCCCCCATCTCCCTACCGGGGACAGCGTGGTGACGCCATCCAAGCCGCCCTGTGCCCCCCATCTCCCTACCAGGGACAGCACGGAGACGCCATCCAAGCCACCCTGTGCCCCCCATCTCCCTACCAGGGACAGCGTGGTGATGCCATCCAAGCCATCCTGGCCCTGGCCCACCTCTGCCCTCCACGTCGGGGGGTGTCTCTACGCACGGAGCCCCTGCCATGTGCGAGAGGACAAGTTACAAGGCTGTTTTCTTTCATCTGCGCACTCAAAAAGCCACTCCGGGACAGCCTGGCGAGCTGGCCACGCTGTGCTGCGTCCTCCTTGGATCTGGTTTCTAAAAAAAAATGGTAAGAATGTGCTGCTTTTTCCATGTTGTGTTTCCGTCAGAGGGGAGCTGTTTACCGAGCACGG